AGTCAGACACACCTGAGCATGCACCAATTGTAACTGAGTCTTAAGTGATAACTAAGTCTTTCATGAGTCTAGTTTCCTCTGAGTTTTCTTAACTGTTTCTATTGTTTTAACTACCATCTCTCGAGAAATATATTCTAATTAACTGCTCCAGTTGTGTATCTCTAGTAGACATAGTCTCATTTAGAAATGACATGCCTGGAGGGGTTTAGGGGGGGCAAAGTGGGTGAAGGGGGTCAAAAGGTACAAAATTTCAGTTATAAAATAAATAAGTCACAGAGATATAATGTACAGCATGGTGACTATAGTTAATAATACTGTATTGCACATTTGAAAGTTGCTAAGAGAGTAGATCTTAAAGTCCTCATCACAAGAAAAAATTTTTTGTAGCTATGTATGGTGATGGATGTTAACTAGTTGTATTGTGGTCATTATTTCACAATGTATGCAAATATCAAATCATTTGTTGCACACTTGAAACTAATGTAATGTTATGTGTCAAATCTCAGTAAAAAATTTAAAAATGACTTGGCTAAAACATGACTCTGCATCAAAATTTCTCTAAAGCCTTTCCTATTTATTAGAAAGAAAGTCACACTATTTCCTTCTTTTAGTCTCAATATAGAAAAATCAGAAAGTACATAAAAGTAAAAGAATATAATAATCCCCAGAAATTCCCTGGCAGTCTAGTGGTTAGGACTCTGGGATTCCAGTGCTGAGGGCCCGTGTTAGATCCCTGGTGAGGGAACTAAGATTCCCACAAGCTGCATGGTGCGGCCAAAGTAAATAAATAAATAAAAGTAAAATAAAATTGAAAAAAAGAATAGAACCAACATAATCTCATACCTGAAAGAATAATCACTGTTAGTATCTTATTGTATAGTTTTCTTAACTATTTCTCTGTATGTGTATACGTGTGTGTGTGTGTGTGTGTTTATTGTGGGAGGGGTATCATAGTACCATTTTGTAATCTATCATGAGTATCTTTCCATTTCAACAGATAAAATCATGTATTATTTTTGAAAGAGTGTGGAGTATTCAGTTATATATTTACATATTTAACCAAATATCTGATGTTAGGATTTTATTTCCAGTTTACTGATATGACAAAGTGTGATTGTATGAATTTCCACTGCTTGTGTCACACATATGACACACCCCACATGCTTGGTATAGTGGTTACTTGAACTTTCACAGGTCTCCTCAAAATGATTTTATTAATTTTGAGACCAGATCTTATATTTATTTGTGTCTCTCATAGAATTTAGCGTTGGCCTTTCATATGGGAAACGTTCAATAAATAGTTATTGAATGAATGGACAAATGAGGTGCACATCCCCAGGCAATCACTTACCTGCTTTCTACCACTCCAGGTTTGTTTTCATTTTCTAGAATTTTATATGAATTGAATCATATGGTATGTGCCCCTTTTTGTGTGGCATCTTTCACTTAGAATAATTATTTTGAGATCCATCCAGGTTGTTATGTATATCGTGTTGTAGCACGCTGGGGAGACAGACAACACTTGAGCACCACTTTCTGTAGAAGCGTGCCAATGAAACCTCTCCATCACACAGAATTTATTCTGAGCCTTTGGTGTATATGTCCCTGCCTGCTTGATCTCTCCTCTTGAGTATCTCAGGAACAAAGGTAACATGTCTCAAATGGACCTCCTTACGCAATACAGTCCCCCACCCCACCCCCTCAAAAAAAAAAAAACCCTCCAAAATTTGGTTTCTTCAGTCTTTCTCAGCATAGTGAATGACATCATCTTTCATCTAGTTGAATGGGTCTTCCTAGTTGCTGGGTCATCCTCTTAAATATATTTCTGTTCTCTCCACCTTTTTTTTTAGTCTCTTCTGCTACCACCCTATTCTAAGCTGCATCGCCACTTGTCTGCCTACTGCAGCTCTTCCTACCAGTCTCACTGCTTTTGCCTTTGCCCCTGTCCGACTCAGAGAAGTCATGCTGATTCTCAAACAGACATTGCTTCTTATCACTCTCACGCTTCAGAACGCTCAGTGGTATCCTTTGCACTCATCCTATAGTTCTATTTTTAGAACCCTTTGATTCCAAAGTGCCCAGGACATTTTTTACTTCTGACCCTCCCAATTTGAGCTCCTGTAAGAATGAAGTGCATAGAAGCTGTGTTGAGAAGCCAGCTCTGAAAAGTTTTGACAGAAGAGGGCAGGGTTAGAGTCGTCCCAGAGTCCTGCATGCAAGATAGAGTTCGTGTCGTTTATGGCTAATGTCATCCTTGATGTTAGAAAATCTGTTCAGCTTCTTTAGGTCCTTTCCTGGCTTTGAGCTCGATCTTGATCTCTCCTTGAAGCCCAGTGAAGAGCTCACTGCTCTAAGGGGATGAAACATGTTTGTTTCACTTAGAAAGTCCATATTTATTTCTATATTTAAACATACACACCACCAGACTAGGCTACTTGTCTAGGTTATTTTGTGAGCCACAGGGGAATAGAAACCTTCTTCCTTATTCTGTTTCTTAATTCACTCTTTGGAGTAAGTCAGGGGCTTAAGCAGGCCCCCTGTGGGCTCTCCTTAAATAACAGTTCCATTCAATAATGGACCAGAAGAGTGTTTTAAAGAAACGCAAATTGAGCAGAGAGGCTAAAAAAGGTGTCCTGATACTTTTCAGTTTGTTCTCTAATCAGAGTTAATGCAATCGAAACCCCTTAGTTTCACATCTATTAGGCACACAGCAAGCTGGCAAATGCTTCCTGAGGGACTAGGCCTCAGCTGTGGCTGGGTGCTCCGTGGCATGTGTGCGCGTGTGTATGTGCGTGTCCATATCTGCCTGCATGGTCTCTGTCTTCTTGAATTTCCATAAATATATAATTAAATTCATCTTGTCAAACCACTAGGGGACTTGGTGGCAGAATTCTAAGATAACCTCCAAGATTCTTCCCCTCAGGTTTACACACCCTCTATATTCCCTTCCCCCTGAGTGTAGTTGAGATCTATGGATATGTTTGGTGACCACTCTGATAACTGTTGCTGTTTAGTTGATAAGTTGTGTCCAACTCTTTGTGACCCCATGGATTGTAGTCCGCCAGGCTCCTTTGTCCATGGGATTCTCCAGGCAAGAATACTAGAGTGGGTTGCTGTGCCTTTCTCCAGGGGATCTTCCCAACCCAGGGATTGAACTCATGTCTCCTGTGCCTCCTGCATTGGCAGGGCCACCAGGGAAGTCCCACTGTGATGATTAGGCTACTTTATATGAAAACAGTGAAGAGATTTTGAAGACGTAATTAAAGTCCCTTCTGGAGGAGAGAGAAGTTCTCCTGCTGAGCATGATGAAATGAACAGCCCTGTTGTAAGCTGACTATGGCGAGGGGCAGTCTCTAGAGCCTGGAGATGCCCAGGGTGTCAGCCCTACCACGCTGAGGAACTGAATCCAATCACCTGAATGAGCTGTAAAGAAGACTCTGAGCTCCACAGGTTAATGCAGCCTGGCTGACACCTTGATTTCAACTTTGTGAGACTCTGAGCATCACCCCCAGCTCTGCTCTGCTTAGACTTCTGACCCCCAGAAACTGAGATAATACATGTGTGTAGTTTGAGACCAGTACCAGGTTTGTGGCAATGTTATGCAGCAATTAACAGTTAACTAATACAGAGGATATCCAGCTGCCATTTCAATTTTTCACTGTTATATGGGCTTTTTTGTTACAGTAGACACAACAAAGTAGCACAGACTGAATGGCTTAAACAACAATAAGGAGAAATTTATCTTCTCACAGTTCTCATAGAGCCTGTGTGTCTGAGACTGAGGTGTCAACAGGTTTGGTTTCCTCTGAGGCTTCTTTCCTTGCCTTGCCGATGGCTGCCTTCCCACTATGTCCTTACATGGTCAGTGTGTACACCTGTGTGTATCCTAATTTCCTCTCATAAGGACAACAGTCGTGAGTAATTAGGGCCCACCCTAAAGATCTCATCTTAATTTGATTACCTATTTAAATAGTTTATCTCCAAATAACATTACATTCTGAGATACTTAAGATTCAACATATGAATTTGGGGGCCGGGGTACAGTTCAGCCCATAATGTGTACGTGCGTGCTCTGACTCTGCAACGCCAAGGACTATAGCCTGCCAGTCTCCTCTGTCCAGAGATTGTCCAGGTAAGAATACTGGAGTGGGTTGCCATTCCCTCCTCTAGGGGATCTTCCCAACCCAGGGATCGAACCCTCATCCCCTGCATTGCAGGCAGGTTCTTTACCACTGCTGAGCCACAGGGGAAGCCCTCAGCACACAATAGCCATCACCATTTTCAGCATTCTTTTCACCATTATTATTTTGTTTTCACTTGTTTTCTTATTTCTTGAACCTCTGTTACATCTCCCCATTCTTCAGAGTTTGTCCTATTTTATTACAAACTCTTTGTCTAATTCTTGACATTTTTGGCTACAGGGTAACTTGTGACATCTTTCATAATTACATCCCTAGCTTTTAGTGGCCAATCAGTCTAAGAAAAACATTGTCTTACATTTTATACATAATTTTTACAAGTTTACAAGGTACTTTCACATGACTTTTTTTTTTTGAAACCTGGAACAATGCTATGAGGCAGATCAGTCCAATATCTTCATCACCCCACTCTAAATTCAGGAAGATGCACTCAAGAGAAATGGTGGTGTTAAGGTAACATAGCTCATGTCTTCTGACTCCAAATCAGGGTGCTCTGTCTGCTAGATTAACTATTCAAACCATTCTAACCCAAACAGCAACTAATTCCTATCAGATAAGTCTATTTGTAATCTATCTTATTCCTATCCTATTGTTCAAATGCAGATTCTATAACTGCCCCCATCCTTGCTATGTATCTGGAAGGTATTCTCATAGTGTGAATTGGGGAGGCTATGGCCACACGTGATTACCCTATTTTCCCATTATTTCTGTTTGAAAACATATTGTAAAACTACCCCACTTAAACCTTTTTATGGCCGGGATGAAGCAGTATCTTGGATGTATTTCATTCTGTTGTATTTACTTGTTTATTTTTAACTTAACGCGCCAGATTTTTCATACACACTGAAATCAATTGCTTTAAACACATCGCATCAATGAGACTGTAAACTCTCCTAACAGGTGCTTTCTACCTAACAGGCATTTTGTGTGTAACATAGGTATACGGTGATAATTATTAAATAAGCATGGTGGAGAAACCAATGAATGCATGCATGCCTGTTAACAAAGATGCATTGTGTTGAATCCACTGACAGGCAGGTAAAAGAGAATATAAATTCCACGTGCATTTGGAGTTCTCTCTTTCTTTTTACCAGTATGGTAAAGTATAACAATGTGGTGATAGCTTTAGGTCTTGCCAGTTTTTGAGTAACTGATTATTTCAAAGTTACTTAAAACGCACTACTAGAATTTTAGTGGAGGGAATTTGAAATACCAACTCAGCAACGTTAAGCTCTCAGACACCTGGCTAGTTTACTGGTAGGCAAAGAGAAATATTAGAAAACATAAAGAATTACCGTCCCACACCCACCCCATCCCTTTCCTTAAAATACAGTGAGTGAACTGGTTGCTAACAGCACGCTCCCATTATTTTTCTGAGGAGAAGTCTGAAATTATAAGAAGAAAAGGCAAAGGAAGAAGTGTAAGAAGGTGGCCCCAGGCTATAACCGTCAATAAGGCAAAGAACGAATAGAAGACCTGCAAGGGGGAAAAACAGGCTTGACTGGGGTTTTTGTTGGGGGCTTGGCTGGCAGAACTGGGGGGAGAGAGTCAAGACTGTGACTCAGAATAGCAGCTCTACCAGTTTGGGAAAGAGCGTGGCACAGCGGTTAAGAACCTGGGCGCTGGAATCACGCTGCTTGGGATCCTGGGCCCTGTTCTGCCCCTTACCAATTATGTAACCTTGGGCAAGTAATAATTTGACTTTGACACCTCAGTCTGGGCAGTTGTGAAATGGAGACAACACTACCTGTGGACCTTGCGGAGTAGGTGTGAGAGTTCAGTGCGTTCGTAATTCAGCGCTGGGTGCTTAGCAGACGCTGGGTAAAGTGTCGTATATGTTCTTCTTTCTTAATCGTCTGTACTTCCCGCGGGGGGAAAAGATGAAGCGCATCTGAAGAGGGATGAACAGTAGTTGCGTGACATCCCGGGTCAGGCTCCTTCTGAGGTGCGCGCCCCACCGAGGTGAAGCGGCGGGAGCGGACACCTTGCGCCCGGGCCCTCGGCGCCCACGAGGGGCCGCGACAAGCGCGGGCAGGAGGCTCGGGGCGGGGGCGCTCCTCCTGGCGGGCGCGCCGTGTCCCCGGATATTTGACAGTTTTCACCTCTTGTGTCTTGGGCCCCAGGGGCCGTGTGTGCTCTAAGCCGAGTGTCCTGGTTTCGGAGGCGTGGGGGCCACTGCGCGGCCCGCCCGCCTCCCGCCCCTCCTCGCCACGCAGCGGGCGGCCGCGGAGTTGCGCTCGGACCCTACACTGGGTCCTACACTGCGGCCGCAGCAGCGCCGCTCCTATTCCGGGGAACCCTGGGGACGGAGCGTTTCAAATCAGCGGAGCGGCGTTCGAGGTAGGGTCCGTGCTCTCCGCCTACCGGAGAGCGAGGCGAAGTGACCGGGGCGAGCGAGGGGGTGCGGAGGACTGGGGGCCGCTGCCTCGCCGCAGGACGGAGCCCCGGCTGCGCCGCGCGCGACTCGCTGGTCGGCCCTCGGAGCGCAGCGGCAGGCGGACGGGCGGCGGGACGCCGGGACGCGGCAAACAAGGTGAGGCAGAGTCCTGGCGTGGCAGCGGCTCCCTCGGCCGCCTTCGCGCTCCGGGGACCCGGCGGGGCCAGGCGGCGCGCGGTCTGGAGTTGCGACCTGCAGGCGGACAGGGGGTTACCTCCGTTCCTTGCACGCCCTCCCTCCGTCCCCACAACCCGTTTTCTCTCACTTGCGGGTGTACGCCCTCCTACCCGCACCTCTCATCGCTCCCTCCCCGACTCGCTGGCTCCGCCCGTCGCCCGGTTTCTTGGAGGACCACTGCGCCTAGTTTTCCTTTCCTTCTTTGTTACCCCTCTAAGATCTCCTCCTCCGGGGCTGTCGCTGCCCTTGACGCTCTGGGGTCTCTCTGCCCGCCGCGGGCCCCGCTGTCTCTTGCCTTCCCACAGTTTCTGCTTTGTGGCTCCTAATCCATCCCTCCCTCCGAATCTTCTAACTTGGGAGGCTTCGCTGCTGGCTCCTGAGTCAGGAGCACCCTCCTCTCTTCCTCGAAGCTTTTAACTCTGCTTTGAGCGTCTTCATCTCTGAAAAGTCTCGGCTGCTTTGGATTAATCACAGTTCGCTAATGATTTTCTTGGAAGCTTCCAGTCTACTGTACGGTGTATTGAGAGTGATGGGAACGAGCCTTTAGTAAACATCATCTAAAGAACTGGCAAGTTTGTTTTTTCCCTAGTGTTCAGTAACTTAGTCCAAGAGCCACAAGCACTGAGAATGGATGTATGTATGTTTGTCTTTAATCCTAGCACATGGTCCTCCGTCTGATTCTTCCCACGCTGCCAAGCAGGCCGTAGAGAGAGACAGTGGGAGGGACCTTGATGCTTGGCTCCATTTCTCCTGCAAACTGGCGTGTTCAGCGTTTCGGTGTTGTCAGAGGACTAGTAGTTTGGGATAAAGTCACTCAAGTTAGCCTAAGCTGGCTACCAAACCCACTGAATTGGAACTGACAGACTCTAGGGTTTAAAAACTGACTCTGTTGGGAGGGTCCCTGGCTTTTTTTTTTTTTAAGAAGCCACAATTTCTTACTGCAGATCACATATTTGTATGTACCCTCAAGAAGCAGAATTTAAAAACCATGTCAAAGGGACGACATTTCTGTTTGCTGAAGTCAGTTTCACACAGCACCAGCCTATCGCCTTCTCCCCGTGCTCCCATACTGAGGTTCGTTTACTCACTTCCATGCTCTAATTAGCTCGTGAAGAAAATTGAATGAAGAAGCTGGACGTGGAAGCAGATACAGTGAACTAGCACAGGCCGACCTTGGCGGCTGTGTTCCTGGAAATGGGCTGTATCCAGTGTTGAAGTTTGAAAACTGAGAAAAATGAAATAATCCATTAAGTAGTTATGGTTATGACATTTTATATTTAAAAATATTAGCTTCCTTGTCTGCATTTTTAAAATTAATCGCCTTACATTTAACAGTGATAGAATTGTTTACTTGATGTGTGACCAGGTGTTGTCATTGACACAGTGTGCACTAATTGGCAATCATCTCAGAAAAAACCAAGTTGTGAATGAAGGTGACAGCTAAATTTCACTGTCCTGGGAGCATTTTTTTTGGCCATGAGACAATGCATGTTGTTTCTGCTGCAACATCAAATGGTGTATCTTTAAAACAGATAAATAAGAGCCTCAAATTCCCAGTGCTTTTAATCTGCCATTTTTATAAGCACCTTTTAAGAAAGGGTGGTGTGACAGTATCGAGTTTATGGTGATGCTCTGAGGAAAGTGGTTTTCACAAGAATATTAAAGAATATTTATATTAAAGTTAATATAAATATTAACTGATCATCAGTTTAGTTATATGGCTTTCAGTTGATCTGTAATTTCCCTCATTCATTTGGTAAATTTCTGACTTCTCTTTAGTTCTTTTGAAAAATGGATATACTTGGGAAAGGGGATTTATACCAATAGGCCTACCCTTCTAAATCTGTAATTTTCTTGGCAACCCTTTCTGGAAAGATACACAAACTTGCCAACTGTTTCAAAGAAAAGAGTTTATATTACTATGTCATTTTTTTTTCCTTTTGTAATTATTACTGATACTAGGTCTAAGCTAAGATTGCCCTAATATGAACTATTTATGTTTGCCAGAAAAAAATAAAGGTGGATATGAGTTTGTCTTAGGCATTTTGCTCTGAATCTTTAGACTCTTACTCAAAATGTGTTTGATAATCCACCTGGTACATCCACGAGTTATCAAACTGGATATTTCCGATGTTAGTAAACATAATTGAACATAATTGCACTTTGCTGCTGAATTCTCTTTTTCATTTCTTTACATTTTAAATTACTTTTCTTCATGTAATTTGACTTACATTAGTGAAATGAGACTAACCAATTTTTTTAAATTGTTTGATTTTATTGATGTTTAATAAACTGCTACAATCTCCTTGAAGTATTTTCTTCTCTTAAATCCATTGGTTGGAACTGGAATATTTTTCTTGCCGTGAACTAGCACAACGACTTGTCAGGTATCCTCAGATCTCGGGAAAAAAATGTAGAAAGAATTTTGAAAAATGAACAACTCTAGAGAAAACATCTCAAAATTAGATGAAAAGGTTTTCTCAAGTCACTGACATTCATAGCAGTCAGCTCTTAAATATATTCTTCATTCATTTAATTTATTTTACAAAATCTGTTGGGAACCTTCTATTTGCCAGGCCCTGTGCTAGCCACAATGGTAAATTATAAGAGGTGTAATCCTTGATCTTCTGGAGTCTCACAGAGACTATATTCCACCAGAGAGTATGGACAGTAGGTAAGGAAACAAATGAAGATCCTTATAGACGGTAGTGAGAACAATGGTGGAAATACTATGAGATGGAGAACTGGGAAGGGCCTTTTTAGCAAGGGTGGTTTGGAAAGGCCACCCTTTCCAAAGGTGACCTTTGGACAAAGATGTGAAAGAAGAGAGATCGCTCTTACCTTGTCAGCTTACCTCATCAAGAGCTGAGAGAAGAGTAAGAGCCAAGACCTTGAGGCAGAAAAACAAACTTGAGATATTTGAAGAACAGAAAACAAGCCAGGGTGGATGGAACCTAGTGAGCTTTAAAGGAGTTAGGGAGCCTGGAAGGAGTCAGTAATAGGTAATGCAGGGCCTACAGAGTCTGAGAAATAATTTGATTCTCAAAAATAGCGGGAAACCATTGGAGAGTCTTTGTTACCTACTTTTCTGTGGAAGGTCAATGACTGAAAAAAAAATTAGTGCATGTAAATAAAATTTGTTTTGCAGAGGGTAAATAGAATATCTTAGCTACTCAATTGTTTAAGAGAATGAAAATCTCTGATATGTATAAAATAGGTAATTGACTTCTTTCTCTCTGCTTAGATAAGGGAGTAAGGGGATGGGAACTCCAAGGTGAGTAAGTTATGAAGCAATTGAGTTTGTACTGTCACATTGTCCACCAGAGCCCTGCGGTAAGTTGTCACCAGCCTCATTAAAGATCAGATCATCGTTCAACTTAAGAATTTGTTTGGGACTTCCCTGATGACTCAGTGGCTAAGACCCTGTGCTCCCAGTTCTGGAGGCCTGGGTTTGATCTCTGGTTAGGGAACTAGACCCCATATGCTGCAACTAAGACCCAGTGTTTGTGTGTGTGCGCGCGCGCACACACCCACGCTTAGTCATGTCCTACTCTTTGTGACCTCGAGGACTGTAGCCTGCCAGGCTTCTCTGTCCATAGAATTTTCTGGGCAAGGATACTGGAGTGGGTTGCCATTTCCTACTCCAAGAGCTCTTCCCAACCCAGGAATTGAACCCTTGCATCCTCTACATTGGCAGGCGGATTCTTCACCACTGTGCCACCCGGGACACAGCCAAATAAAGAAATATAGTAAAATAAAGAATTGTAAATTTTTTTTTTCTCATGGAAATATACTTTGGAAGGTTGGAAATTTCATTTGCATGTGAAGAAATAACTTAGGTTTTAGCAATGGCCTTTGGGATTTTAAGAGGAGCTTGCCACTTTCCTTTAGCTGTTGTGAAGTAAGCCAGAAAGATAAAGACCAATACAGTATACTAATGTATGTATATGGAATTTAGAAAGATGGTAACGATAACCATATATGCAAAACAGAAAAAGAGACACAGATGTACAGAACAGAATTTTGGACTCTGTGGGAGAAGGCCTTCTCCAATGTTTTCAAATTGCCTACCTTTATTCTTTGAGAGATTAGAGTTTTCTCTATTCCTTGAGGATTAAATGAATTTACACTTGGTATTTATTTTGTTGCCCTGAGCTCTTGCTTGAAGGCAATCCAGCTTGGAGGTCTAATTGGCCCCAAATAAGAA